CGGTAAACCACTTTTCATGTGGGGTTGACGCGACAGCAATAGTATTGTTATATAAACGTTCAATAGAAGAAATAACGGGCTTCATGATGGCATCGTAGCTCTCCTTCATAATTCGAATTCTTTGATCCGATGAAAGACTGAGATTATCATTGATCCTTTCAAATTCACATTCAACTAAGAGGTCATCCTTTCTCTATTTCTTGTTTAGAGCGTTTTCAAAATATTTTTGCGTAAATTTAGTCATCGATCGAAGTTTGATCTTGGAGACTTGAGTAATGATTTTAAAGCCGTTCTACCTTGGGTTTCACAAGATTCGGTTAATGTAGTGACCACCTCTTTTCTTGAAGTGCAAGAAAAGATTTTTGATTCTTACAAATCTTCAGTGGATGGATATTTCAGGTTTCTACAATTTGCAAATTGTAGAAAGGATGAGAACAAAAATTCTGGAGAGGTACATCAAAGTTTTCTATATTATTTTCGCGTTAAAATTGAAAATCATTTCATCTTGTTATCCCTATTCTTAGCGTGTGCACCACAAATATATTGAAGAATCCGATAAAACTACGGCATGTCTTAGATTATTGAGGTTACTGGTTAAACATGGATCACAGATAGACGCCTCATTTATGTCAGGATTTGATGGCACTGACGTCCGGTCTTGGGAAAACATCATCCCTCAACTTTTCTCGCGATTAGACCATCCGGATCCTTTCGTCCAACATCAACTTTGTAAACTCTTGTGTGCCATTGCTTCTAACTCACCTCAGCTTGTCGTGTATCACGCCGTTGTGTCCTCAAATTCTCGTGGAACTAGTGAACAAAATAAGCAACTGCTTCAAAAAATTGCAGAAAGTCTGGATAACACCAATGGTGCATTGATCGCCGAAATTCGGCGTGTCATCAGAGAGCTACAGCACATAACCGTGCTATTTGAGGAACTTTGGCTTAATAAGATCGGTGGACTACAACTCGACATAAACAAACGATTTCATAAAGTTGAATGCGAATTTGAAAGGATCAATGACAATCTCAGTCTTTCATCGGATCAAAGAATTCGAATTATGAAGGAGAGCTACGACGCCATCATGAGGCCCGTCATTTCTTCTATTGAACGTTTATATAACAATACTATTTCTGTCGCATCAACCCCACATGAAAAGTGGTTTGCCA